TCATAAAAAAATTTCAGTTTTAGGTCCAGTTTCAATTTCGTTCTAATTTTTATCTTATAAAAGACCACCAACTTTTATTTAAGTTCCAAATCTGCTCTCCATTAACCGCTCCATCAAAATCGCCCTAAACCTTCTTCTTTTTTGTCAATTTAGTCCTAAACCTTTTGTATTTGTGCCAATTCAGTCAATCTAGCCAATTTCGGTCGGCCGGTGTTGACGTGGACGCCGACCAATGCCAGCCAACGTTGACGTGGCAATTTTTTAATTTTTTAAAATTTTTAATTTTTTTTCCTTTCTCTTTCCTTTTTTATTTTCTTTCCTTCTTCCCCTGGCCAGTCACTGGACCTACCAGAGGCTAGGGATGTCGACTCATTGGCCACTGGGGAGGATCGCCTAGTATAGTAAAATATGCTGTATTATTCGATTAAACACTTACGGTAGTAAGTTATTTTCATTATCATATAGGAAAATATTCACTTTCGATCCCTGAATGAGTGTAATTTGTCAAATCAAGCTCTAGAAATTTTAATTTTTCTAATTGTCTCCAACTTCAAAGGAAGTTAATATGAACCAACGTGTAAGGTAGAATAGGTAAGAGCTTATATGCGGAAAATCCGGAAGATAAATGACATACATGATCAGACCTTCAATAAAGGAATTTCTCATCAGGAACATTGCGCTTAAGCATTCCACGTCAAACTCTTGCCAGTTCCAACAGACGCGTCAGCTTTGATTAACTTTGAGTAGAAAAATCATACAAGTTGAAGATTTTAATTAGGGAAATTAAGAGTTGAATGGCTTTATTGCAAAGGAAGAACTAATTTGGTTACCGAAACTGGACTTATCTTCTCCCTAGAATTTGGCCAAACAAACAAATTTTCCGATGAGAAGTGCCTTGGCAGTGACAGCAACTAGAATGTGAACAAGATGCTTAAGTAGGAGAATTATATACATAAGAGCTTGTTTCCATGGAGTCTCGCAGTAGAACAGCCAGAGTGGACCGCAGAAGATTTACCATCATCACAGTTATACCTAATAATGAAGAACCCTGAAACAAAAAATTTCTCAATAGCAGCTACTTGACCGCTAATAAAAGTATTAGAAAGAGCAGAGTTCAGATCAAAACTAGCAACAGAAGTAGATTCTTGAGCTGAATTCAAGATCGTAATGAGAATTGGAACAAGTTCTGATTGATGCGTGATCGCACTTCCACATCAATCGTTAACTAAATATCCTGCATAGAATTGAAGCTCGAAGAAGCTGGTATAAAGGGTGTTAAGGAACACGCCTACTTCCTTCGCGAGGTGAACCATGCCCAAGAAATCAGGAAGAAGCTTTTTTTGAACCTCATGCTCTCTGAGAATCCAGGTACTTCAATTCTCCAACCTTGTAAATTGCACTTAAAGAGCAACATTCCGAAGTTTCAGGAATAGAAGAAGATGCTCATTGTTTTCCCGTCCCGTTTCTCAATGATTAATGATAAGCAACATTTTTATTGTTTTACTTAGGCTCCGTTCGTTTTGCGGAGAATGTGATGATTCTGGAAAATGTTTTCTAAAAAGCTAATTTCCAAGAAAATCATAGTATTTTTCAGTGTTCGGCTAAAACTTGAAAATGAACTGGAAAATATTTTTCGCCGTTCGGTATCCGATTTGATTTTCTAGGGAAAATTACCAAAAACTTCTAAATTTTTAATTTTTAAATTAATTTTCTTTTTATTTTCTTTCTTTTTTTTCCTTCTTCCTTGGCCGGTCGCTAGTGACTGGCCACAAGCCCTCAAGCCTCGTCGGCCTATGGCCATGCTCGAGCTCGCCTGTGGCCAGTCATTGATCGCCACCGTGGCAGGCAACTGGCCGAGTAAGAAGCAAAAAAAAAAGAAAGAAAACGAAAATGAAGAATTCAAAAATAATTAAAAAAAGAAAAAATAAACAAAAATTGTGTTATATGAAAGAAATTGAGGTGAAAGAAGATATGGAAAATGTTTTCTGCTTTCTAAAAAGAGGAAAACATTTTCCTCACTTTTGAAAGTGTTTTTCCATTGGTGAAAAATGTTTTCCATTACTAGTTTATTTTTCATAAAACGAACATCAGAAAATCAGGTGAGCTCAACCTCACCACAGGCCAGCGAGACTCGACCTCATCGGCCTATAGCCATGCTTGAGCTTGCATGTGGCCAGTCGCCGCCATGGCCGACGACCGGCCGAGGAAGAAGCAAAAAAAAAAAAGGAAAAAGAATAAATGCAAAATAAGTAAAAGATTGATTTTTAAAAAAATAAAAGAAAATTGTGTTATTTGAAAGAAAATGAGGTGAAAGAAGATATGGAAAATGTTTTCCGCTTTTAAAAAGAGGAAAACATTTTTTGCACTTTTGAAGGTGTTTTTTCCATTGGTGAAAAATGTTTTCCATGATTAATTTATTTTCCATGAAACGAACGCCAGAAAATCCGGAAAACATTTTCTGGAAGTTGTTTTCCATGAAACGAATAAAGCCTTAATTGCTTTCTTTTTCTCAAAACATCTTACTAGTTCTATTAATATACTCATCAAATTGTAAAAATTTCATTTTATAATATTATTATTTATATGTATTTTTCCTGATATTTACATTTTTAGTTGATTCTTTTCTTCATTTTCTTTATTTTTTGCATTTTTTTATAGAAATCAGGGTAAAAGAGAGATTTTTGTTTTAAAAGTGAGATGATAATATGCTTTTACCACTTCAAAATCATGTGTACCGCCCATGCTAAAGGAGAATATAATGAAAGATTAACGGATGCAACAAAATGAAAGTTCAAGAGGCAATAAGCATAGTTGAAAGTTTAGACACAAACGTGTACTACCCCAAAGTTTGAGATAATTTTGTGTAATGTCCCCCCTTCTTATTTTTTTGGTGTTTTTATCTTCTTCTTCTTCTTTTGGCTTTTTTCGTTTTTCTATTATCTAATTTTTTTTGGGTTGACTTGGTGCCTCATCAACGCCTCATATGTTCAAAAATATGTAAAAACGCAACTTCGGACATATTGCATAAGCAAAGTTAACTGACATCTCGCTAGAAGGACTTGATTACATCAAATCCAAAACGTACAGGACTTGATCGCATTTTTTCAAATTTTTAGGATTTGATTGCACATTGAAAAAATAGGTACACTATATTTGGTAGAGGAGATTATGAGGGAGGAGGAAAAACTTTCAAAAGTGATGTCTTATTTGGAAATAGGAGGGATTGGGAGTGTGAGTATGATTGATTCATATAATTTTTTTAAGTCCCTCCAATCCATCAAAATATGAAAGGAATTGTAATGATTGTGTTGTTAAAAATATGTAAATATATTTTATTAATTGTTATTTCTATACGTAAATACATAAAAAGGATATTCGAAGTCCTAATACATTCCTTTCCCTTCATTTCTCTGGCTAACATCGAAAAACACTATAACACCAATCCTCCATTTTCCTTTCATTTTATTTGATTTTCTTAGTTTCCTTTCTAATCACCTCTATTAACACAGCATTAGAGAGAACCTTGTGCTGTCGAATTTGTGGAGACAACGGGTGGGATGTGTCGATTGAAACGTGAAAATTACCACTTCTTCTAATTTGCATGACTGAGTGAAACACACTCACCTAACAATCTCTCTCATTTTCCTCAGCTGTTAAGACAATTAGGTGTCTCTTTTGGTCAATCAATGTTGATGAGAGTCATGAGACCTTGGATGACCCGGAGCAGTCGCTCCATGCTTGCTGTATCATCGGAGACTGAAGCTCAACCAGGACAAGCGGTTTGAATCCGGGATTCAGCAGTGGTTTTCATCCCAGCCGGGCAAGGAAAGTTTCGCCCAACCACTGTTTCCATGCAATATTTGAGCTGTGTCATGACCAAAAGTCGCTCAGATTTGGATGAGTGTTAGAACTTACCCACAAAAAATTCGTATCCCCCGGTGGGCACCGCCGTTTCCGTTGTCTGAGGAGCCAATGATGGCCGCCGGAGCTTTGCCCTTGTCGGTTTGGTGGAAGTTGCGGTTGGTCTACGGTGGCTAAACCTGAGAGAGAGCAAGAAAGGTATTTTTTTTTATTGGAACTTTGAACTAGACTGTGACGGTCAATACAAGTCATGAGCTAAAGGAAAATCTTGCAGTACTTAATTAAGGGAAGAGTACGACATAGGAATTTTGTATAAAATTCCATAGAATTTGGTATATATTTGATAAAAATTGCATCAAGTCGTAGCAACGAGCGCATGTGTGTATATATAAATTGACCGTGGCATACTATTGGTTTCTTTGCAAACATCTAGATTTTGATGCGCTTAAACTTACACAATACGCCTGATTAATAGTTGTCACTTTTTTATTTTGGTCGAAATATAGTTGTCATTTATGCAAGCATGCTTTTATGCAGGACGTGAAGGGAATATTGCATGTGGGATTTCGCGAGTTGGTTGGTTTGGCGTTCGGCTTATCTCACAAGGGTAGTCAATCGGAGGAAAAGGTTCAATGTCATGCTCAACTGGGCGACCACTCTGGTATTTGGAAGAGACAACTCGAGAATAGGTTGACACTGGTAGAGATACATACGCTAATTGCTTAACACTAGTCTTGAAAGTTTCTCAATTCTATGATACATTATGCTTCTTTGGGTGGAAAGGTTCAGTCATTTGTCACGCAAGTATTCAGCATGGCTAGTAAAATAACAATGGTTATGCACCAGCTCATTTTTTTTTTTCATGTAACTTTGGTTTTATTAGTTTTAGAATGCCGTTTAACAGGCCAATCCGGTCCTCAATTCCATGGAACTCGGTAGTGGCTAGCCCTAGGGCGGAGTAAGTTCTGGATTCTTGGGCGGAACGGGATCACCGGTTTGTCCTCTCGCCTAGTGACCATCGCTATAGTGCGGATAACTATTTGTCCACTTGGTCAAGATTGAATCTGGCCACGGGGAAAGTATCAACAACTCGAAAGATTTATTGAAAACAGAGTTTATATATGTAATGAAATCGACATGGAAGATACAGCTTCTATATACTTCATGCTACTTGGGATGATAGTATTGCAACACAGCATACACTGTTTGAATCATGCCTATAAGAGTCACTAAAACAGCTAGGCCCGAAAGAGCCGACCATGGGTTGTCATGAAAAGCATTTCGGAGTTGTGCACAGCAAAGATAAGCCCATTCATACTTAAGAGACTTGTTTAAAATTACACAGTGCGATGCTAGGTAGCACCCATTACTGTCGAAAGCAGCGCCCTTGCAAACGTCACCAAAGAAGTGTGAAACTTCCTCGTTGCTCATGCCATGATTCGAGATGACTTTACGGTCACGCAAAAGTTGTACATCATCGGCAGTGTGAATGAGGCATCCCATGAACGCGGCATAGGCGGTTACGTGCCCATCTTCTTGGCCACGACACTGTTCAAAAGCAATCATATTGGAGAGGATCCACTTGAGATCACCATCTATTGTTATTTTTGGAATTTCAATGGTTCTGTGTTTGCTATCAAACTTGATCTCAAGGATGGTGCTTGCTTCCCTCTGCTTGAATCCAATTCCCACTCGACGGAGCTCGCAAGCAGATTTGATCAAAAAATCAGACTCAGACGTGCTCGTGTCTACTAGATAAATGTCTTTTTGATCCGAAGGTATAAAGCACAGACGAAATGAATCAAGTAAATGCACTACTTTTTGATTGCTCCGTCTTTCCTGGACTTTGCCAAATACTTCTGGGATCAAGTTGAAGAACTGGAAGACGAGACTGGCCAACGAGAAGTTTCCTTTTGGAACATCCGTCATTTCAAACAAATCCTCAAGAACAAAGTACGGGACCTGGTTCTCAAGCCGAAGAAGGTCCCGCATAACAGACTCTAACACGTATGAATTTCTTAATGGGGGATTAGTCCGTAAGCCCCCTGCCATTTGACGGAGGTACTGAATGATGAAGCATCCATCGAGAACCATCATTTTCACAAGATCAGATCCGCTGAAATTGTCGGTGCTCTCGAAGTAGCACTGCCGGATCATTTTCTCTTTTGGCGCCACTACATCGATGAGGTCTTTGAGGCTGACACTGTGCGGTTGAGTTTGGTCCAGCATGGTCCGGAGGCATCCCCATTTGTGCTGCTCAAGCATCTGCAACTGCGGTTCTCCATGGTGGTATGGGCCAATAGAGACTACTTGAGGCCGGCATGCCTCGGCATATCCTCCGGCAAATCCCTGAGGAATTCTGAAGATGCAACAGCTGCTTTCGCCTGTTGATTCATTCAACCATTTCGGTGCTGCCTCAATAGCTTCTGACATGGAAGCTAATGACAGCAGCTTCACGAGCTCGATCTCATGTTCTTCAGCGGTTGCTTGACGACCTCCTCGATTGTTGTCCATGGGCGAGCTAAATTGTCAAATCTATGTGAATTTCTTGTTGGAAACTCAATAGATTGAGAGAGAATTGAAAGGATATCGGAAGTGTAGTGTAACCATGAAAAATGTCAGGGACATGTAGAGATTTTAAAAGGTCTTATAACAAGCTGTTGCGGCATGTCCTGGTGACGGTCACATGTTACATGGTCTCGCTTATTTCTGAGATTTTTAATTGAAAATCAAACAGGGCTTGTCTTACATGCGGCAAAGTCGTCGAGGGCTCATAAAACCATCGGATGGCTGACGATGACCGTCAACCGTCAGCCGCTGATTGACAATCATCGTCAGCCGTTAGATCGAAATGGACTTTGTCTACCGGCTCTTTTTTAGTCTTCTTTTGCTCCTTAATAAATTATCGTCGCCACAATAATTGGATAACCCGTTCCTAACCAATGTAAAAAAATGACTAGTGTTAATTGTATATTAATACCGTTTTGAAAAGTTTGTATATCAAAGACAAAATGTAAGTAGGTGAATTAGTACAAAAAGAAAGACAGAAAACATCGAAATTTGATGAATCTGAACATCAATCTCTGCATTCCCAGTTATATAAGGAGGTGCCTAAGAAACAACACATTTTTTGAGGAACTCCAGCCGGCGCGAGAAGGGCGCCCGAAAGACAAAATGTAAAGTAGCTGAAGTCACTGATTTAATTAAAAAAGAGAGCAAAAAACCGAAAATTCATTATGAATTTAATTAATTTTGTAATTTAAACTGTGGATATCTTCAAGTGTTTTTATTTTCATGTATACACATAAACACATTCTTGACAAAATCGGATCTAACTAACAAATTGATGGATGCAATGCTACTACTACGGATTGGCTCCAGATCAGCTTAAGGTGATGTTGCATCTGTACAATCTACTTCAGAGCGACAGCAAAATAAATTGCACTTGCATTTTAGGAATTAATGAATTTTTCCAGCAATTTAAGAAAAGAAACAATTAAATTCCTTATGTAAATTGAATAGACTTGCCTTTATTCGCTTCTGCAGATTCTTGAAAACTTTTTAGTACTGCATATATGGATACATACATATTATATCCTACGACATTTTTGAGGAGTAGCACTCCTTAAAATCACTCTTTTTTTTTTTACATATTTCCTAATATTTAGTTGAAATTGTTTGTCTTACTCTTTTAAAACTAACACACTTTAAAGAAATCCTTTTGCTGTATATTGAAAATACTCTGATGTCGCTTCTAATTCCTAGATTGTCTAAATTTTCTGACTTGAAGATTCTTAATAACTATTGACTGCGAACGCAATTGCTATGGTGTAGTCTGGTTTATGGATCGTTTTATTTTCTTAACCATGTATCCCGAGTTCCAGTTACACTCTTATATAGACAAAAAAGAAATCCAAGATTGAATAATCACTGACCGAGTTGATGACAGCTCTAAGATGAATGTGAATTTGCAAAAGTTAAAGTTTGTAAAATGGTCTTTTCATCTAATAGTATCTGAATGAAGTATTATTTTTTTTTAAGAGAGGTCATCCAAGCTCAATCTCGGTATACCAAGCACAATTCTTGTATAATACAATTTTCCGCTTAGGAACCACAAAGATCTCAGCAAACATGAATGCATCATTAATAAATTTATAGTAATGAAGTGGGTTTGACTTGATAAATGAATCTGAACATCCATTCGGGCATTACCAAGTTTAACGACGTTCCGAGATACACAACTTTTAAGGAACTATGATCGGATCGAGGGCAAGAAGCCCCACAAAAGACAAAAAGTAAACAGGTGAAGTCAATGATTGGTTCCGACAAAAAAAGAAGTAAATAATTGGTAAGGTGCAGGCTGGTCAAGTTGGAATCATTAAATGATTTGTACACCCAGCACCTGACCAATCTTAGCCGCCAGATTGGAATAAACCTCCTCCAATCCCCTCCCCGGAGGCAAACCGTGAATTTGTACCCCGAATGCACAGTGAAAAAATTCATAACAATGTTCCGGAACTCGGTTACTTTACCTCCCCAACCCCTATGGAATATTTTGTATTCTGAAGCTCCCTATGTCTTCTTCTAGTAGAACTCGTTTTATGAATGAATGAAAGTACATTTTTCGACCAAAAAGGGAATCAATGATTTAGGACAAAAAGAAAGATAAAAAAATCAAAATTGCATAAAATAAGTGAATCTGAACATCGGTCTTTGCGTAGCCCAGTTGTCGAAGGAGTTGCCAAAGATAAAGACATTTTTTAAGGAAGTACACATTGAGCGAGGAAAAGTAGCCACAGAAAAGACAAAATGTAAGTGGGTGAAGTCGATGATTTAATACAAAAAGAAAGTGAAGAATCGAAGTTTCAATTAAAATGTGGATATAAAGTAATTACATATCTTCAAGTGGTTTCAATACTATAAAAAATAGGATCTAACTAATTAATTGATGTACGCATTGCAACTACTACAGATTGGCTCCAAAATACACTTAAAAGACTCGAACATGATGAGGACACTCTTCCATATTTGGGGTGATGGAAATTTGAATTTGTACCATCCACTTTTAAGTGAAAGTACATATTAAATTGCACTTGCGCTTTTGGAATTAATGAATTTTTCAACCAATGTAAGAAAAGAAAAAAAAATAGTTTCTTATTTCTTATGTAAATTGAGTTGACTTGCCTATATTCGCTTTATATGTCACACTAGTATAAGTTTGAAGTTTTTTCACAACACAAAAAAAAAGTTGGGAGTATTTGTGTCACAATATGAGTATTTTGAATTTTTTGTGGTATTTACTCTAAATAAAATTCCAGATTTTGACCAAAAAAAACGTAGCCACACAAAAGACAAAATGTAAGTGGGTGAAGTCGATGATTTAGTACAAAAAGAGAGAGAAAAATCGAAATTTCAATTAAAATGTGGACATAAAGTATTTACATATCTTCAAGTGGTTTCAATATTATTTATACATTTTTGATGATTTTGTACAAAAAGAAAGAGAAAAATCGAAATTCCATTCGCTTTTGTAGATTGTTGAAAACGTTTTAGTGCTGCAAAATTAACCAATCACTGTTAAATTTCAAAGAAAGTTAGTCAAAAAAGAAAAACTTGCTGGGCAACTTGTTGGCCCAGTCTGTCCTTTATAAGTTACTAACGAAATGATAATATTATCATCATTAACTATTTTCCTATTTTACTAATAGGTCCGGTTAGTTGGCTGTAAGTTACCAATCAAACTATCAACTACTACCACTTTCTAGCTTCTTTAGATTTTACAAGATCTACAGCTTTCAAATAACAAAATCGAAGATCGACAATTTTCCGATTTTACGGGACCGGGACCGGGACCATAGAATTGCCACCCAATTTCTCCGGGCAAATACGATTCGAAAATGAATCTTGGTATTAATGCATTCAACTTCCAAATCTCGAAGAAATCCGCATATTCATGACCGTTTGTGGGTGGTTATTGATTAATGAATCACTTTCAGAGAACTAATGGCCAAGGTCCTGTACAGCCTGGAGTATCGAGCACGGGTCCCATATGCCGTCGGGGCGCAAGTGAGTGAGCTTAGAGGCTCGGGTATCCGGGAGAAGAGCTGTTCCATCTCCTCCAAGCTCATATTTTCCAGAACGGATGGCCTGGGAACCACCTGCACGATTTCGCCGCCTTTGGGTTCCTGAACCCGGGCGTCTGCTTTGACAACCAATTCCGAGTTAGAATCGGCTCCACATTTGATGATCAATGGAGTTGGCGGGCACTTTCAATTTGGATGCAAGGTCAATGCAGGAAAATGAAAAGCGAGACAAATGAATATATATATATATATATCTGTAATTTTTTTATTGCATACTCTAATAGAGGTAGAAAATATATGGGTGGTTTCTTTGTGATTTAGCAAACACACAAAAGCCACTTTTCAGAAGTTACATGTTTCATTTTTTTTTTGGTGACAAGTAATTTTTAAACCTTATCCTTTTTGCATCGACTTTCTATTCAAAGAGTAATCTCTCTCTAAATGTGTTGATCTCCACTCTACAACTTCTCAGGGAAAAAATTTGAACTTTATTTCCTCGTTCTACTTTGGACTAGATGTGGCATTAATCCTTCCATTTGAACTTGGAAGTGGTCATTCACTATCCCTTTTTTTCTCACTGCATAAAGGCTCAGTTTTCTATTCAAAGAATTATCTAATAAATATATTTTTAATGTTTCTCTCTAAATGTGTTGATCTTTACTCTTCAACTTCTCAGGGAAAAATCTTGAACTTTATTTCCTCGTTCTACTTTGTACTAGATGCGCCATTAATCCTTCCATTTGAACTTGGAAGTGGTCAGTCATTTCCAGTTTTCTCATTGCATAAAGGCTCAGTTTTCTTCTTACCTTGGAAACAAGATGAATGCGAATTTCTGAAACAGGTCACGGAAAGGGAAGAGAAATTCTTAGTGGAGCTGTTTCGTAGGATAGGGAAGCAAGATGGAGGGAAAGCATTTTGCTCGAAAGACATGCCTCTAGGAGACCCATTCGTGTACAGAAATTTGGGAAGCATGGGTTTCCGTAGGGCATTTCAAGGCGCTTGTCGATTTACTCCGGCCTAAGGTACATAACGTCGATTTCCTAATAGCTAGATTTTGATCCTCGCGTACTCTTATGATTCGCCGAATTAATAATTGTCACTTAGGCAATCATTTTTTTTTTGTGTAGGACGCGAAGGCATATCGCACACGGGATTCGTGAGTTGGCTGGTTTGGGGTTTAGCTTACTCACGAGGGTAGTCAGTTGGAGAAACCGGTTCTACGTCTCGGTGAACTGGGCGATGACTCTTGGTATGTGGAAGAGACAACTCGAGAATAGATTGACAATGATGGAGATACATATATTAGCTACTTCACACTAGCCTTGAAGTTTTCTCATATCTATTATACCTAGTGCTCTTTGTGGGCGGAAAAGTTCATGTATTTGTCACACAAGTATTTAGCATGGCTAGTAAAATGAAGACGATGTTGCACCAGTTCACTTCTTCTTTTTTGTCGTGTAACTTTGGTTTTAATAGTTCTAGAGCGCGGTTTAATCAATTAAATTTCATAAATTGA